CGCGTGACTTTTTTCCTCAAAAAAAAACCCCGTGATTTTTAAAAGTCGGTTTCGGCGTCCCCCGAGCGGTGGAGGGCGATTTTTTGATCCACCCCCCCCCAATTTTACACAAATCCTAATTTTTAAAAAATGCGTAGATTTGTTTTTTGAGGACCTGGGCCCTTCGGAAAATTATTCTTATCAGTCTTATTATTTTTAAATAACATTTTAATGTTTTTATATTATATTTAATGTGACGTAGGCGGGTCTCGAACCCCAGGCCTGCAGCGATCCTCCCGCCTCGGCCTCCCCAGGAGCTGGGGGCCACAGGCACGCACCACCCTGCCTGGCGCGTTTATGATGATGATGATGATTGGTGTTGTTATTACTATTACGATCGCTGCTATTATTATTATTATTATTATTATTAATGGAGGGCTGCGGTCTTGCTATGCGGCCCAGGCGGGTCTCGAACCCGGGCCTGCAGCGATCCGCCCGGCGGACACGCGGCGTCCGTGCCTCCAAGACCCGCCCACCTGTCCACCATTCGTCCATTCATTATTCACCCACCCGTCAATCATCCAGCCGCCCATTCATCATCCACCCACCCGTCAATCATCCAGCCGCCCATTCATCGTCCACCCACCCGTCAATCATCCAGCCGCCCATTCATCGTCCACCCACCCGTCAATCATCCAGCCGCCCATTCATCATCCACCCACCTGTCAGTCATCCACTCGTCCATTCATCTTCCACCCACCTGTCAATCATCCACCCGCCCATTCATCATCCACCCGCCCATTGATCATCCACCCACCTGTCAATCATCCACTCGTCCATTCATCATCCACCCACCCGTCAATCATCCACTCGTCCATTCATCATCCACCCACCTGTCAATCATCCACCCGCCCATTCATCATCCACCCGCCCATTGATCATCCACCCACCCGTCAATCATCCACTCGTCCATTCATCATCCACCCACCTGTCAATCATCCACCCGTCCATTCATCATCCACCCACCCGTCAATCATCCACTCGCCCATTCATCATCCACC